CTTTCTCCTGTTTCTACAAAACGTGGGACGGAAAATTTTTGATACGTAGTGCTTCCTAAATTTTCATTTTTTTCTTGTTTTCATTCTTATATTTCTGCACGAAATCAGATTAATAGATTTTTGATACCCAATGATTAAACAAAAAAAGAAATGTTTTATTCCGAGAAAAACGAGAGAGAAGGGATATCATTATTGCCGCCTGCATTGCATTTGCGAAAAAGAGTAATTGAACATTGAATAAAACAATACCCGAAGGTTCACAATCAACTGAATATTTATTCCAGTTGTACCACGTAATTTTTTAAAAATCGTTCTGAGTGAGTTATTTAAGCTCCGTACCTTTTTTCCTTTGAATCAAAAGTCAAGCAAAATCAAGTAGAGCACTAAGTTCAATTATTTTATTTGTGTTTGTAGCAAAAAAGTAGTTAGTTTATCGGAATCAAAGTAAATAAGATATTAATGGCGCACTCAAAATAGCAACTCTTTTCAAAATCTTACTAAGGTGTTAGTTGGAATTCCATTATAACTAAGAATGAGTCATTGCCCTTCTCCGGGCCTGCTCAACCTGAGAGCGGACGACAGCTAATGCGTTTCACTTATTGAACATGGTTCTATGATCGGTCCGTGAGGGAGGAGTCTATTACGCAGATGATCACTGAACTATGCAAAATGATGGAACAAAGTCATTTTATTTTAGTGTGTAACAGGAAAAGCACTCAACTTTTCCTAGTGCACACAAATAGTCACTCAACCAGAAGTATCAATATTTCTGGTGGAATAAAATGACATGGCAGTCCACATGAAATTTTTTTATTATTTGACCAAATAACATCCAAACAAAACATAAAAAATATACCCATATATCCGACCCGACCCAACTCGCTAAATAAAAACTCACCCACTTAATAAAATAAACTCTAAAGATTATTTGTGTGCACTAGAAAAAGTTAGAGTGATTTTCCTATTATAAACTAAAAGTAAAATGACTTTGTTCCATCATTTTGCATAGTTCATGATCATTTGGGCAATGAACTCGAGTAGGGAGTAGTGGTAAAGAGCAATTAGATTGGGGTGATGCGTACCATCCTTCACTAGTTGGCTTTCCCATCAGCAATGAATGAAATTAAATACGATAAGTCTGCCAATTCCTAAGGTTGATTGATTTCTAATCTTATCAAAGTGCAAATTGGCATTCATTTCAAAGAAAACTCCAGTCATTTTCTTCGCACCCTATATATAACTACTCCATATTTTAGCATCATGGATGAAATGGAAAAGATAGTGACACTTGAAGCTGTAAATAACTAAAATATATTAAATTTTTAGATGAGCAAAGGTGAAAGAATTAATTCAATGCATTTACGGTAGTTGAATATGTATATATTGGACGATTCTTGAATTGTGCTTCTTTCGCTAATCATGGTTATGACATTAAAAAGGAATTTGACTCGCGCATGAACTACTACTAGTATTTAATAGGACTTTCTTCACTTTTAGCC